ATCACTGGACAGAGAAACAATTACGCCCAACGGGACAATCATCTTAGTGCTAACTGCAGAGCCAGAAATAATCATTACAATACGAATAAACGTACTCGATATCAACGACAATAGTCCGACATTCCCATCCAAATATTTGGTCAGTTTGCTTTTGGCCGTTCATATTAAACATATTCACAGATTCACATTTCACAACAGATTCACACTGGTCTCTCATCTGCAACACACCATGGTCTACAACGTCAGATCTAAATTCAAAGTGAAAAAAGAAAAAAGGTCCAGAACGATTTTAAGAAAAAATTGTAGCACTGCAAATCAAAGCAGATATGAAAATTTATTATTCATAATGCTCAAGAAACAACTCTTGAAGCAATGTTTTTGTGAGTTTGCTACCAAAACAGAAATATTTTCGCAATTGGTTCTTAAACTGAACTATTGAATGGTAATGGGAGCTGAGAGCATGAAGATTAAAAATTAAAGAGGTGAGAAGTTTTCCTGGAAAAAGGAAGCAAGAAATATCGAGGGAAAAATAGTGCCTAAATTTAGTTGGCAGTAAGTCCAGAAACATTTGCCAAGCTAATTACTGTATTTATTTTCATAAATTGATCAAATGTTGTATTTCCGCTCTATTCTTTCTTGCTTTCCATGAAACTTGTCCAATGCTGTTTGTTGAACTAATAATTCCTTGAAAAGACAAAACGAACGTCAGAACTGTCAGTGCACTGACCACCAGGTGATGCAACATTGGTCAAAGCAAATGCATAAATTGTTTGCTGTGTCGCTTGGAGAATTGCGTTATTAGTTGCATTTGAACAAAAGTATCGAACAAAAATGAAGAACTTGTTAATTTCTTATTTTACTCTATTCTGAGCTTGTCTCAAGCAAGTAGCTCTTGCGGTACCATACAGTGATTTAAAATAAGAAATTTCTAAAACACTGGCAAGTGGATGAGCATTTTTTGTCCTCAGTTGGCCCTCAGCACGTGCGGAATTGCATCAGAAGTGCTTTTTCATGGTGAAAAACTTCTAATCAGTAATTGAGGGTGCTGTAATGCACTAAATAAGCTACAACTAATTTAATTACAGCTCATTTGCAATACGCCACAATGCGCCTTCAATTAGCTAAAATTTTTGAACGTTCGAATTTCACGTTTGTTCGAATTCCTGAAATTATCACAATTTTAATGCTGTTCTTCCCTTACAACCACCCTATATTATTTTGACGCTTTTAATTGCTTCGTCTACTCGATTTAGATTTTTACAAACCAGTTTAGTATATTTTGCTTCTAAGCAATCCAAAAAAGATAGGGCTGTCGAGAGCCCAACGAGTAGATGGTTGCTACTGGCATTTACTATTGCTCGAGTTAGTTTCCGCCTCTCATAGAAAGTGATCAAATTTTGTGGACTTTTCAGAGCCATACTACGATAAGCAAACATTTTTGTATTTCTTGCATGAATGCGAATTACAGATAGCTTTGGAGCTGTCGGATTCAGAGCTTGAAGTTCTGCATAGTTCGTTTTGTGGGAAGAAATACACTATCCCCATCAACATAACATGCTCCAGAGTGCTGGCCTGAGACTTTTAATAATGTTAACATACAGAATGCCCAATATAGTTTATTAAGATCCATTCACTGTTTGCTCTCAGGTTTGCTAAACAACAGGCTGGAGGATATCTTTCAAAAAATACCTGAACTGTTGTTTTGTCAAAAGCTCTCCGTGACAGTTTTAAGAAGGGGCAATCCGAAAGTAACTTAACTGGGAGCAAATGCCAAAAGCAGCCA